CACAGTTCATCAGCTTCCATTATTTTCCACACACCCTTCAGTAAACTTACACATTTTAAGCTCATTTTCAACTTCCTGCTGTCTTCTCTCAATCTTCTCACGCCTCTGTAAAAGGAAAATCACAATGTCTGCCACCACACAGGAGAAAGTCAGCAGTATCACTGGCTAATCCACATGCATTCTGGAAGTAGAATATAATTTGATCTGCAACCAGGTTTGGTAAAATTTGTAATAAGGTCAGTCAATAGCTCCTCAATAGCCAATGAGGAAGCAACTAAATGAACCATTTATATGCACAGTTGGATAAATTCTCTCTATTGTATTTTGAATTAACAGTGGTGTAGAACAACTGTGAAGATTAACGCAACTGATTCCAGAGATTTGGGGGCTAGGTTTATCTTAATAGGAAAGGCTGGAAAAAACAAACTGGCCCTGTATCTTCTGATGTTTGAGAAAAATGAGGGGTCATCCTATTGAAACACAGATTCCAAACGATTTTTTTCTATTCATTTGTGGGATGTGGGAGTCACTGGCTGGCAAGCATTTCTTGCCCATCCCTCGTTGCCCTTGAGAAAGTAGTGATGAGGTGCCTTCTTGAACCGCTGCAGTCCACCAGCTGTAGGGTGACTCACAATGTCATTAGGGAGGGAATTCCAGGATTTTTACTCAGCGACAGCGATATATTTCCAAGTCAGGATGGTGAGTGGCTTGGACGGGAACTTAGAGGTGGTAGTGTTCCCATATGCAGCCCTTGTCCTTCTGGATGGAAATGGTCACAGGTTTGGAAGGTGCTGTCTGATGATCTTTGGTGAATTTCTGTAATGCATCTTGTTGATAGTACACACTGCTGCTGAGAATCGGTGGTGGAGGTAGTGGATGCTTATGGATGTAGCACCAATCAAGCGAGCTGCTTTGTCCTGGGTGGTGTCAAGCTTCGAGCGTTTTTGGTGCTGCATTCATCCAGGCAAGTGGGGAGTGTTCCATCACAATCCTGACTTGTGCCTTGTAGATGGTGGACGGGGTTTGAGGGGTCAGGAAGGGAATTACTCGCTACAGTATTCCTAGCTTCTGACCTGCACTTGTAGCTACTGCGTTAATGTGGTGAGTCCAGTTGAGTTTCTGGTCAATGATAACCCCCAGCATGTTGATAGTGGGGGAATTCAGTGATAGTAACACGAATGAATGTCAAGGGGTTTGGTTAGATTGTCTCTTATTGGTGATGGTCATAGCCTGGCATTTGTGTGGCACGGATGTCATTTGCCACTTGTCAGCCCAAGCCTGGATATTGTCCAATCTTGTTGCATTTGAACACGGGCTGCTTTAATATCGGAGGAGTCACAAATAGTGCTAAACATTGTGCAATCATCGCCAAACATCCTCACTTCTGACCTTATAATGGAGGGAAGGTCAATGATGAAGCAGCTGAAGATGGTTGGGCCAAGGACACTACCCTGAGGAACTCCTGCAGGTGTCCTGGAGCTGAGATGACTGACCTCCAACAGCCACGACCATCTTCGTATGTGTCAAGTATGACTCCAAACACCGGAGAGTTTGCTCCCAATACCCAATGATTCCAGTTTTGCTAGGGCTCCTTGATGCCACACTCATTCGGATGCAGCCTTGATGTCAAGGGCTGTCACTCTCACCTCTGGAATTCAGTTCTTTTCTCCATGTTTGAACCAAGGCTGTAATGAGATCAGGAGCTGAGTGGCCCTGGCAGAACCCAAACTGGGCATCACTGAGCAGGTGCTGCTTGATAGCACTGTTGATAACGCCTTCCATCATTTTACTGATGTTTGAGAGTAGACTGGTGGGGCGGTAATTGGTCAGGTTGCCATGGTGGGATTCGAACCCGGGTCCCCAGAACATTAGCTGGGTTTCTGGATCAATAGTCTAGTAATAATACCACTAGGCCATCACCTCCCCGGATGTTTCAGGATGGATTCTGAAAGGTTGAATACCTGTGACAGAGTGATTAAGGGGCAGTTTAAAGGGAAGAGGTCTCCCACTTAAGACAAAGATGAGAATTTTTTTTCTCCTGAAGCGTCGCAAGTCAGTGGAACTCTTTTCCTCAGAACGGTAGATGAGGAGTCATTGAATACTTTTTAGAGATTCTTGCCTACCAAGGAAGTCACTGGATATTTCAGCAGGCAAAAAAAGTGGTGTTGAGGGAAATAACTGGTGGAAAAGGCATAAGGAGCTGAATGGCCTACTTTCTAACAATTTAGGTGGTTTCATTGGTAGAAACAAGTAACAGGAGGTAGAAATCTATCGAGAGACTACTACTGATAAGCAGATATGTAGACAATTCTTGGGAACATGATCAGGCTTGATGAAGACCCTGCAATAAAACCAAATGGACTGAATTCTCTTACAGGCCACGCATGCACCCACACAAATGATGGCCAGAAAAGGAATGTGGGTCCACAAACCTATAGAAAATAGTCGTGGAGACCTTCAAATAATTCCAGGTATTTTCTAATGTCTAGCCTCTCCTATCACATTTAACCCTGGAATGTACATCTGGCCTAAATTTCTTACCTTTCTTTCCATTCGCTCCTCCCGTGTCTCAGCTCTTGTTGGTGGCGGGGCATCTCTAGGATCCTACATAGCAGAAAACAAGCTGTGATCAAAAATTCAAAAGCCACGCTTGCTATATTCTGTTCTAGCAATTCTAAGTGGCTCCTTGATCATCACTTTTCCTGGATAGAGGCCAGTTATGTTTGAAAATGTGGTGTGAATGCACTGAATAATGGCTGTTAAGATGCAAGCACAAGCTTCTTTCAGGTGCAACCTTCATGTGGAATTGAATTATGGGTATAAAAGTATTCAAACAATATTAAATATATCAACAGTATGAAAGATTCTTCCCACAAGAGATGCCGACAGACCTCTTCTTATTTCAGATTCCAAGCACCTGCAGGATTTTGCTTTTGATCAAGATGTCACTATCCGGTTTCTTGGTAACAAGGGATTTAGGTTTCAGAACGTAATGAGCGAACATGTGCAACTGTAATAATGAGACAGGAACAGGACGGTACCAGACGTAAATCTCAAAGTGGAAGAACGTAATAGAATAGAAAAGCTAAAAACAGAAAATTCAGAAAACCAAATTCTTAACAGACTGATTCTGGAGAATAAGAATGAACAGTGAAAAGGAAGAAATGGGAATATATATATGGATTAAGGGGCTAAATCAAGGTCGAGCGTTAAGTTTCTCTGAAAAAAAATCACAAGCATAAACCCCGTAAATACACTGTTGTGCCCCCAAACCCCGCAACATGATTGCCTCAATGCTGTACTGTGGTCCACTTCATCTTCTACCCACCCACCCACCAGGTCTTAACCCACACCCCAAAACCATGTCACCTTCAATACCAAGTCTCAATACGCTCCCCAACTGGACACAAACCAAACTTCTCATTCTCCCAGAACTCGCCTTGTTCCAAAAGGCCCCACTCACCTCAATTACACCCCACCAGTCATTAACATCCCTATCCACTTGCCCAAACAGACCTTCAATACCCTTCTCCTCACACTGCCACAAGATCCCTCCCTTACATACCTGGCTACCTTCTCCACTACTGTTCCCTCCTACACAACGCCTTTCATATCAACACAGCTCTTGCTCGTTACTCCCATTTCCCTATCCTACGTAGCTCATTCTCAATCTTGAATCATCTGCTCCTCAATTCCTTTCCTCCTCCCTTAGTCCTTATTAGTTCCCTGTCATACATTCCCACGTTCCCCATCCCCTCTGACAATTCTCACCAGCCCATTCCCCCATCTCACATTCTTCATCCACCCCTCTTCCCCAACACCCTCCAAGCACCTCCTCACCATTCCCCCGTCCCATTACCCTATTCCTCCCCCTCCCCCGACCCACACTAGCTCATTCCCTTACCTTCCACTCCCCCCTCTGCCGTTTGCCCCTCATGACCACTCCTTAATCAATTTAGCCTCCCAATTACCCCATTCTCTCTCCTTTCCCCCACATCCCCTCCCCCAACTCCACATCCTCCTGTCTGTTACTCCATCCTCCCCATCTCCCTCCCTTCTCCCACTGCTCCTCTTCAACTGTATCAACCACCCCTTTTAGCCTCCTTCCCTGATAACCAGCTCTCTTTCTCTCCACCCTGTTATGCCCATTCCTGTTCCTTCATCCCAACTCTCCCCATGCAGGCTCCCCCTCCCTTCAGTTCCCACCCTCCCCCAGCACCCTCTCCTCCGCCAGTCCCCTTGCACAGTCACACCCCTACCCCCACTCCCATTGGGCAGTCAACCCCCTCCCCCTTCCCCATTCACTCCATCAGCACACCCTCCCCAGATCCCTCCTCCCCAGTCACTCCATCTGCACCCCAGTACCCCCAATCCCTCCTCCCCTGTTCCCCATCCCCACTCACTCTATCAGCACCCCTCTCCAGTCTCCCCGCACGCATTCCCCCCCCCCCCCC